ACTTTGGACACAAACTGCTGGAAATCGAGTTGCATGAGAGCCCGGCCCTCATGAGTGCAACGCTTGGCCTCAGAGAAGCCCTCAATGAATGTGCGCGAAGACAGCCGTAACACGTGTTCCCATAGACAGCGGTAGACCTCCGGCGGGACTACCCGTGCGTTCAGTCGACTCGCAAACACACCATTCAAACGCATACTAAAGATCTGGAGTTCGCGTAACAACTGATCGACGTATGGGTTGTGTAGGGATAGGATGTCCCGTATATTCCACTGAGTGGTGGCCATCGCCGCCACTACCGACTCGTATGGTATGCAGCGGACGGTTACCCACATATACACCGGTTGTCGCAAATCACTCGCTATGGACACCACCTGTCAGTCAAATCATGGGATCAGACAATCAATTGACAATCAATTCATGCATTCATCCATTACTTGATTAAAATACTGCTGAAGAATGTGTCGCTTCTCCTGAGGAATAAGTTCTTCGACGTAAGGCTTCAATGATTGGAATTGAGTCGAGAGGACAACCCTGTAATCAATGGAACAGGTCTTGAGATAAGACATGAAATACTTGAGACAAATGCAGACTTACAGAGACTCGACGGCAACGACCCGTTCGGCCAAACCGTACAGACCTTCAGCTGAAGACATGTCGACAACAGTGGACAGAATCGGAGGAAAATACTTATTATTGTTATTATGACTGCTATTACTGACAGACGGGTCGACACCGGACTCCAAGACAGCCCTCTCGTCGACCATCAGGTGATCGCCAATGCGTTTGATCTGCGCTTTCATGTCATTGGAGAGCGAAGTGTCGGACAGAGAGACCATCTCTTTGGCGAACAACTGATACACAGAATTGAGATAATAATCAAACACTTGAAACAAACAGAGCATTGCGTCCACAGCTATGGGCCGTAAGATTGACATCATTTGCATGTATTTCCCAAACAATCGCAATGTGTTTAGAGTTGTGTTCGTCATAATCGGCTCATCACTGTCCCCACAGCCCTCCCCCGAACCACCCGTGCCCTCACACTCCCCGTTAGATACCGGACGGCCCATCGCCTTGTCTTCGGCGCCGGTATTCACGTCCGAAGCCTTCCCATCACTCGCGGGCACGACGTCGTCGTCCACATCGAAAGGTGTCGACCCTTTCGAGCGGTCCGTCGGCTCCAGAAAACGGCGCGAAAAGTAATACTTTTGTCTCTTATTGGGCGACGAGTTGGGCGACAGCGACAGGCGCTGTGAGGGCAGGGATGTGGATAACCACTGGAACTCTTGGAGGTGAACGAGCGAGAAGTCCCGCACCGGACACACAGTCCAACACTCACTGTCGAGGAACTCCTTCAGCTCCGACATACAGCTCTTGTGATAGTTCTGGAAGTAGTTTATTGTCTGCGAATGCAAAGATGTCTGCAATT